CAATTTATAAGTTAAAATTGGCATGTGCAAGCTACATTTGGAAATGAGAGGTTTGTGCCCGCACAAACATACAACTTACAAGAAGTGTAATGGGATCTTCAATATACTGCAGGGATCAAGGCTCTCCTTGGCACTAATGGGTTACTATATCCCTCCCTCTACCTGCATTTTCATCAGGGTCCAGAACTAAGATGCTAGATTCAAAGCCTGAACCTTTGTGATTCACTCAGGGTGGGTTCTACAAAATAGAGACCATTGCTATACTGATCTATGTATCTGGTAGGCCATTTTAAAATACAATTTCACCAAACGTAACTGTTCTCATATTGAACTTGTTGAAGACTGGGTTGCTGGCCAAAGATTTCAAGAGGTACATTGTACACTGCTGTGACATACAATGTACATGCTATGAATGCACAATGTACTTTACATGTAATGCATACTGTAGGAGGCTGCCTGGCAGTACATGTACCTGTGCATGTTCACTTTGAATTACCCCAGAGGCTCACAACCAGCTTTCCAGTCTTTGACATTCCAAGTCAGCCATACTTGATGGAGAGGTGAGGCCCACATGACCAGAATACAGGCTGTGGGATAAGACTTGGGTGGGGAACTTGGAGGAATTCCCTTTCTTTTACCAGCACCTCTAATAATAAACCTGGAGAGTCAGAGATTTGGCAAGTTATGGACCTTCACCAATTTGCAAAGATTATTGTTTGTTTTGTTACGCATAACTGGAAAACTGCTGTAACACACAAGTTCTGTACAAGCTGTGTAATGCCTGACAGTAAGGTCTGTTCCCCTTACACCATAGGCGGTAGGCTAAGGAGTTTTAGTTGAGTTGTCAGCGCCGATTTGAAGTGCCTAGCGCCATATGAGGGGATGCGGAGCTGGTGCGGAAGTGAAATGTAGAGCATGCTGCCAGCTGGAAACATATCAAGGTTTGACAATGTGATAACTGGACAGACTGTTAGTGTCACAAACATCATACATTCATCAACTTCTCACATGCTCCATATTCTGTTTTCTTTTGGAAGGTTCCCCAAACTTTCCATAATGACCTGTCAGTGAGTAGAGATTCTGGAGCAAAAACAAGCCTGACTGGGAGGAAACACCAACATATGCCTGGCTCAGTCCTGTATACATGCCATGAATCATACCTGACAGGGGACAGCTCAAGGGCCAGATGAGAAAGATTGTAACCAGAGGGAAGCAGCAGATGGCCTGACACAACACAACGAATGACCTTGCCTGTCAGTCCAAGATGACCTTCAGGGGATTACAAAGCTTAATGTCTTACCAGTGGCTGCAGTTTTCATCAAATGCAGTCAACTGGCAGCCATGTTTGGCATACATTTAATATTCTTACCTCCACCAGCAAGACTCAACAAAGGTTACATTTGAAATTTTGAACATTTGTGTCAGTGTTTGTGGGCTGCATGGCATAGTGAATACAGACAGTATACATCTAACTAAAATATTTGATAATTTCCAGATGGGAAATAGACCCTGGCATGAAAAAGATTCTAATGCAGAGTCTAAAATTTGTTTCTACTTGATTCTAAACAAATGGCATATAGCCTAGGCTGACCTAGTTTGATACAATAATCTTTCATTCTATGCAATTAATACGGTAATGTAAAAAAAATGTCCCAGGGCATTTGGAATAACCGGACAGTGAGTGAGTAGGTCATGGGCAGAAAGGGTACTAGAAGTCAGAAAACTGCTGTAAATTTTATTTTCTTGGTGGTTTTATTTTGCAGTAGCTTTTTAAACTCTGTTGAAACAATTCTGTAGTCCTGTAGTAAAAGTAGGTGGTGATATTCCCAGTGTTCTGAATTCAAAGGCCAACATGAATACTGCAAAAGTGAATCCATTACAAGAGTCCCAATAACCTTTTCCTGCCCAAATATCTGCTTGAAGATTACTGCAGAGATTCAGCTGGCTTTCTGCCCAGGCTGTGTTGATGGGAGGTTTACTGGTTGTCATGGTGATGACAAGAAATTTG